TGTAACAATTTCTGCATATATAGTTAACATAAAAAATACTTCTTGGACCTCATTATGATCTTCTACATTTCCATAATTTTGCCCAAGTTACTCTCCTTCAGAAAGCCATTTCTGGGTCACTGTTTGTATATCAAACACTACCACTTCACATAAAACATCCACTGCTAATAAATCTTCCTTCATCTGAGTCCCTGTCCTGCACACATTGCATTTTATTCTTCTAAGTAATTTCTCTGGTATCGCTGGCTTCCATCACTTTGTTTGCAGATACATCTGGCTCACATATGAGGAAGAAATAAACTAGTTTGCCCTCATGTAACTGTACATGGCTTGGGTTTGGTGTGGAGTAGGTGCTACATGTAATCACATACCAACTGAGGAAAATCACTGGATGCCGTTCATATTTTATTTCTGTATAGATAAACACTATATCGTTCTTCCAGAGAAGGGAAAAAACATGGTTCTGAGGTTTGGGGTTCTAAGAGAGGCTAAAGAAGGGGGATCCAACCAGTTCTATGGCAGAGCCGTTGTTGATATGCCCTTGAGGTGTTTCAGGGTTTCTATCTGTCATGTGCTTTATAGAGTAAGCTTTGTTTATGTGCCTCACTCTCTCCCTCTCCCAAAAGAATACAGTAGATACTCTAAGAATACTGCTCCCTCTCCCCTTTCCCAAATGAATACATCTATATTTTGGTATAGAAATATTTCCATTGTGTTCTAGTGGCCAGCTTTGTGAAATATCTCTTGCAAAACGTCTTTGCTAATCCTTTCTTCTGATTTAAAATACTAATATTTCATTTTCCAACTGTTAAATCACCCCATCCAACTCCCAGTTATGGGAAAATCAATGAAGATTTTCCTATGTCCTTTTCCAAGTTTACCACCCCTTATATTTTTAATACAATTAATGTTTACTGTAAGTTATTCTGCCAATTTATCTAGTGGTTTCTCAAGGTTGTAATACAGCTGATTCCTCAGAAAAAAAGATATTAAAAGGAGAAATAGGATATCTTTTGGACTCTTTCCTCAAGTCTGACATTTGGTCTACAAAATAGTAGCCTCTAACCATTTCTATGGATGATAGGACAAGACAGAGCAATCAATGGAGGAGAAATTTTTCATGTTTTTTTTTATCAGATAAGCTATATCTAGCTGATAAATTTAGGATGTTAAAATAAGCAATCATGTGTATTAACTATATTCTCACGGACACATGACCTTATAAAGTAATGTATACTCATGGGTTTAGGCTATAATTGGGGCCCGGGTTAGGCAGAGCAAGCGTAAATGTGGATCTGAAAACTAGTAGAGAGAGAGCCATAAATGAAAGAAAAAATTCCATAAAAAGAAACACTGATTAGCCAGTATGTAGTCACAGAGATCTGAAGAAGATCTCAAGGACAAATGTAACCTTTTTAACGAGAGTACCATAGAAAAGCAGAATACTTTTCGGTGTACTATTAGAAGGTTTTTATTGTCAATTAATTTTTAAAGATGTTGTCAATCTCGATCATTTGGTAAAGGTGATATTTTTGTCTTACTTGATCCTTTAACATTATATCATGTAGAGTTAGGGATTTAGCTCAGTGGCAATTACAGGTAGTGGTACAAATGTAAACTGCATATTTCCATTTTGTTATCAATGGAATTGTGTCTAAAGATAGGTGACCATGAATATGATTGCTGGGTCAATAGGAAAGTGGCTAAATGATTTTGCTAGGTCTTGTCAACTTTGCCTACTGAAGTGTTGTACTGATTGACATTCACACCAGCAACAGACAGTAACATCTGTTACCCCTGCACCTTTATCAGTGCAATAGTTATCATGTATTCTAATTCTAGATTCTAATGTTAGGTGGGTTAGAAATTGTATCACAATGTTTTAACTTGAACGTCTGTAATTATGAATAAGTTTAAACATTCTTTTCATGAGGGGTATTTTTGATGTCTTCTTGTACTTGTTTCATTATAACATCTTTTGATAAATTCTCCCCTCATATCATTTGTCACTTTTTCTATTGCTTTTCCATATTTTGCCCCTCGATTTTTAAAAGCTCTTTCTGAGAAGATATTTTCCCTTTGCTTATGGGCTATATTATGAAAATTTGCTCCCAGATGATTTACATTCTCTCTTTCCCTATAATGTTATATCAAATATCTTCTGTTGCCTGTAGATTTACTTGGAAAGCCTATTTCAAAAACAAGTTTGGTGGGCTGGGGATTTAGCTCAGGGGTTCGGTGGCCTGCCTTGCAAGAGCAAGGACCAGAGTTTAATCCCTGGTGCCTCCCAAAAAAACAAAAACAAAAACCAAAAAGAAGTTTGAAGATGATGGTCATGAAATCTTTTCCTACACCAAGGTGTTCAAGAGTTCTAGTGCATCTGTTTCAATATTTAGATCTTTAATCTATTTCAACTTTAGTTTAGTGCATGATGAGAGATATAGGTCTAGTTTTAATCTTCGGCAAGTTGAAACCCAATTTTTCCAGCACCATTTATTAAAGAGGCTATGTTTCCTTCAGTGAGAGTGTTTGGCTCATTCGTCAAAGAAGAGGTGACTGAGTATGTCTGGAGTTGTTTCTGCATCTTTATTCTGTTTCACTAATCCTCGGGTCTGTTTCTTCCCCAGTACAATGCTGTTTTTATTACAGTAGCTTTGTAGTATAGTTTCAAATTGGAGATTGTGATACCCCCACCTTGTCTTTGTTGCCTAGAATCACTTTTGCTATTCTAGGTCTCTTCTGGTTGCAGATGAAGTTTTGGATTGTTTTCTCAAGGTCTGTGAAGTATGCTGCTGGAATTTCAATTGGGATTGCACTGAATCTATATAGCAGTTTTGGAAGTATGGCATACTTTCTTCTAATGTGATTCTCTGAATTTTTTCTTCCCTTTTCTTTCATTCTTGTATTTTTGCTCTTTTATATCCCCCCCACCATGAAGTTCTGCTATTGATAGCTTGTAATTAAAATGGGCTGTCCCTTTCAATCAAGTCTTTCCTACAATAAAGTTCCTGCTTTTAAATATCAAGCCTGACCTTGAAAATAGTCCTGCCCCTGCAATTCTGCTCTGTGCTACTCTGATTTATTCACTGATGTTTTGTCTTCTCATGGGCAGTTTGGATTTTATCTTTATGGAGTGGCTCTGTCCACTCAGGTTCTTTTGGTACCATCTCTCCTCATAGGATTCACTCATAGTTTTCCTCAGTTTACCTGCTTAGTGGAAAGAAGAATAAAATGGGAATGGAATAATGCTATCTGTTGATTTTTCTCTTTTTAATCTGAGTTGTTATGTGGTTCCAGGACTGTCTTTCTTCAGGTAATATTGAAGGGTGAATTTTATATAGCTATGCAGTTATTTAACCTGACTGAGGTTGTTTGGAATTCTGCTGCCATTGTCTACAGCTACCAGGAAACCCTCTGTGTATTTTTAGATTCAGTGAAAATGCATTCATGATTTTGACTCCTCACAAATGTGTTTACTAGCCCAACAATAAAAACACCATCTATCTCCAAGCACAATTACTGCAACAACTGTGTTTTTTGTGCAGCTCTGCCACATGTTAGGAAGAGTGATAGTCACCTTACAGTTATGGTTTTTTTCATGTCTTGGAATAATTCTGCAAAGCAAGTTTATAATCTTCATCATAGCAATAAGTAAACTGAAGCACAGATGGCAGGAGAAAAATCTCCCAAGCCCACACAGCTGGCAAGTGAGAGAGCTGAAATTTAATGGACATCTTTCCTACTTCAATACCCTGCTGTTCTATCCACTTCATTCCTTTCATCTTCCAACAGTTGATGGGTAGGTTTAGTCTGTGAAGGAGGCCCTGCTGTTACCAGAATCAAACGTCCATGCGGCTCACCACTTGAAGTAACATTCAGGAAGCAAGAGGGGGCAGGAGGAATCAGATTTATTCAAAAGGGAAAACAAAGTGGTCTTTGCATCTCAGCTTCCTATCTTAAGGGAGCTTAGGGGCATGAGAAGCTTTTATGCGGAGGAAAGAGGGGTACAGTGAGGCAATGTCCTGGGAGTTTTGTGCTACCTGGATTCTTCACCATCTAGGCATATATGTCATTTTCCTTTCCCTCCAGGTATCATGATGGTCATAAGTCCCCTGGAATAGTTTTTAAACAAATCACTTTCTATAAGTTAGCTCATATGCTTTACATTACTTCATGATACACCAAATGTTTTTCTTTTGCCATAGAATTAAAAGAATGAGGGAGATGATCACAGGTTGTCAGATGTTCTGGGACCTAAAGAAAGATCATTTAGCAATTAAGATTTTAGGGTCCTAGATAGGGCTAAAAGGCTTAGGGAGAGGTTGATGGGTATGAGGTGGTGGGAGATAATAGATAGTTTTGGAGGAGCCCTCCTTACACTGGAAGAACCTACATTGAAAGTCCTGGAAATTATCATGCCTGTCCAGTATATTTCCTGTTCTAAAAGACAGGAACTTGGACAAACTTGACCTAAGAGCCTTCACTATCAACGGTGGGTCAAAGAGAGGAACTCTGCCAAGTAACTGCTAGAAACTTGGGGTCATCAGAAGCACACAGAAAACTGATAAATTGGTATATTCTTTTGAAAATTTTAATTTTATAAGCTTTTAAAATTGTCTGTCAGTATATTATTTCAAAATGTTCTGTATGTGGTTATAAATCAGCAGGATATAATTCTCTAAATTTCATAAAATATTATATAAGATAATACCCAATGAGACATATAAGTTTAAATATTTTTTTATTAATTCCTTAGTGATTTTTGGTACTTTCATATAACCTTAAAATATGAGTATTGATCAATTCAAAAGTCCAAAATTGCAACTTGCGTGGAATAATCACAGCATTAATTTGAATATACTTTTAGAAATGCACGGAAAATTTTCTAAGAAATAAACATCAACACAAAACACCAGAATGATAAAAATTACATAATTACAGTTAAATTAAATTTTTAAAATTACTGGTGATCAGAAGTTAGAATTGTTGAGAATTTTTACGGGAATGATTCAAACACGTTTTCAAATAACAGCAGAAATTCCTTCCTTGCAGTTTGTGTCATCATTAAAATTTTCCATATATTCAAAGTTAAGGAACCTGGAAAACACACAATGGTTGTACATAAACTCCTATGAACATTTTTAAATTCCTTGTGGCAATATATGAGTGATTAATTGTCTTTCATTTATTTTCTACTAGTTATTGAAAAATCATCAATTATGCAAAGGAAAATGAACAGCATATCATTGTTACAGTATTAACAATACTCTTTAGCAAGATCTGATCTACTACTAACTTTATTTCATCTTATCTATGATTTTAGTGCTGAGACCATAAGTTCTGGAAGATAAGCGTACCCAGAATGGCATTGCTTTAGTATTGGCAATAACCTTTGTACGTTGTTATAAACTGTAACAACTAATGTCCCTAAGTTTTCTAAATTTATTCAGTGAAACTGCCCATCTATTAGGCAAAGTGAATGTTGGCTGTTAATTTTCTGTGATAAATCTCTGTGGAAGACTTCCGCGGATGGAAGGAGATGCACTGTGCTACTCAGTGTGTGAGAAAGAGCAGCCTTCTGACTGAGGTGCCACGTCATGGCCAGGACTCCAGTAAGAAGAAACTTCACGTACCAAGTCTCAAACATGAGTGCGTGCTTTGGCTACTGCAATCAATACCAAGGCTTTTAAAAATATATCTCCTTTCTTCATGTCAGTTTGCTTCATTTAGATCTTCAAAATTAAAACTTTTCCATTGAGAAAACACTAATAGTATAATCATGCTTTTAGTGTGGCTCAAAGTTTCAGTGCATGGGTGGAAACTGGGAATGATGTGGTAATTTTCAAACTTGTCATTAAAGAATTATTCTAATTTTTACTCTCCTAGGAAATTCAGTACATGAAGTGATGGAGCAAAAGACTTTTGCCTTAACTAATACTGTTTGATCTATGGAATCGAGATAGGGCCAACTGATAGGAATTATATCAATTATCACAGGATTTTTAAAAATTCCTTTATTTTCTTTTAAATTAATAGCAAAGTAGGAATTTTTAAAAGCAGCTCTGATGAACAAATGAAGCACATATGTGGGTATATGGAAGGAAAGTATAGTTTATTCAGTGTTGCACACTCCAAAATTCAACATGGAGTCTGGATAAACAATCAAGACATCAGTGTGAGAACCATGATTGCTTGATGGTGCCATTTTATAGATATAGATAGATAGATATAGCTATAGATATCATTATATCTATAGCTATATCTATCTATCTATCTATCTATCTATCTATATATATATATATAGCATGATGATCATTGCTTAAAAAATGTAAAGGAGGCCCACAGAAATCATGAGTTTTGGGGCTGGGGATTTAGTTCAGTGATTCCACCGCCTGCTTTGCAAGCATAAAGTCCTGAGTTCAATCCCCAGTACCCCCCCAAAAAAAAACCAGGTAGAAATCATGAGTTTCTTTTTGGAGTCTATGTTGCGAGTGCATGCCTTCCATTGAATAAATCTTTTGGCTATCACTTCAATACAGTCTTGATTGTTTCAAAACACTTTGTTCAATTCTTACCTGTGACTCTGTTCACATCGCCAATCATTTTTAGAGCCACCAGGACAATGTTCTGAAGTTCTGTGAAGTCACGGATGAAAGGGGCTATATCAGTACTGTTCAGGATTCTTGGTGGAAGGCCCTTCTGGAACTTGTATGTTCTAATCAAGGTGGTAGGAAACCGACATGCAGCTAAATAAAGCACGGCGACAGCCCAGTTATCTCCGAAATTTGCTTCTTTTTCAGAATAATATGTATGCCTAAAACATAATGGAAAATATTCAGTTATGATTAGTCACCTCAGAACTTCACTTTCCTTAGAAAATATTATCTCTTCCTAATGAGCATTTTAATACTTTAACTATTTAACAGTAGGTTTTATAATGTGATTACTTTAGTCTATCAATCAGGAGATGTGAAGGTACCTAATTAAAGAGGAAGTTCTAGGATAAATCATTGCATCTCTTATTAATATTTTACTTTGCATTTTATAATTTTCAATTAGTCCATTTCTACTTAAAACCAGTATCATAACAAGCTGTAAGGATATGTTTAAATATTATTGTTGGCAATACAGAGATAAATACTAAAGATCTGTGTCAAACTTTTTGCTGGACTTAGGCATTCCTTTTTAAACTCTTGATTTCCTGAAGCAGGGAAATTCCCAAAACGATGAGCATTCTAGTGAAATGGAATGATTTTCTTGTTAACTTTCAAAATAACTGATTTTTAAAAAATAGAATATTTTTCTACTAGTGAAAGCATCTATAAGGCTGATGTTCTAACTCATTTTTGTGGGCAAATGATTACAGTGGAGAGTAGTAAGTAGATTTTTGTCCATTTGGTTGATTTTGCAGTGCTGAAGATTAAACCCAGGGTAGTCTACCACTGCGCTACATCCCCAGACCTTCTTCCTTATTATTTTTCAACAGGTTCTTACTACATTTCCCAATCTGGCCCCCAATTTGCGACCCTCCTTCCTTACCTTGGAGAGGAGCTGGGATTCCAGGTGTGTGCCACTGCACCCAGCAGTAGTTTTATAACAATGTAATTCATGGCTACTGGCAAATTAGCTATCACAGGGTGGCGACAATTACTAGAGGTTCTTTCTAGTGAAATGGCCACTGCTCACATGGCTCACCGGCAGTGTTGTCTTTCCAATCTCATCTCAGACTTCAGCTCCTTCACCAAGCTCCCCAGCAGTCACTTCCTACTCTTCACTATTCACAAGACACCATCTCCATAGTTCAAGCTTTGTTAGATCAGATCATTTTCTAACGTAACAAGTTACATCAGCAGTTTTAATTTTCCAGAACACATGTGGGATTCACCAAACATACCATGTTTGTATTTTGATTATCAGTGTAAGGTAAAAAATGACACAGACCAGAGACTGTGTCATTTCTGCTCGACTCCCATGTGGGTGGGATCCCTCCTGCCTCCTGCCAGAAGGCGGCAAGGCAGGCAGTGTTGGATCCTTGATGGCAAGTGTCCAGTATGGGTGGAATCTCACTGATACATCACAATTGTCTATTAAATAAAGATTATAGGAAACATCTGTTCAGAGAGATTTTGAGCAAGGGCCACACAGCCCTAGAAACACTACATAACCTAAACTGCAGGGAAAAGCAGAGGCAAAAAGTTACCAAGGGCAGCAGTTCAGTACACCAGAGGCAACGGAGGAGAAGTGAAATTTAGTAGAAATGTTGCCAAATACTCTACCCTAATGAATGGTTCATCAGTTCTTTTAATGTGTTATATAAACTGAAGCCATAAAAATATAAAAATATACCTTACGTGGTTAATATACAGTACTTCAAAAACATTAATATACAGGAGCTGACCAATCTTAAGAAATAGATGCACAGAGTTTTATCAAAGTCTCATGTTTACCCCAAAATAAGACCTAACCAGAACATCAGCGCTGGTCATCACCGCGGTGATGGTGTCAAGCCCAAGATCAGACAAAGGGCACTGTTCTCCTGCCCAGTGATTGCTCTGTGACACTGTTGCAGAAGGAATTGGTAAATGGCATGCAGAGATGCAAGGAGAGTGTAAACTAAAAAAGTTTACTTTGCTCGCAAAGGGTCAATCCGCACCAAAAGCTCTGCCAAAGGACCAACCCCGGATTGGGTGACAATCTGCCTTTTATAAGAGTTCTACAACCATGACCTCATTTTAGATGATAAGACATTTTAGTTCCCTCAGTTCCCATCACAAATCATGGTCAAAAGACGGCTCAGTGTTAACCCAAATGTAGCATTTCTCTCAGGATGTTTATCTTTAGATATTTCAGGCCACAAAAGCAGGTCTGGTGACAGTCCCTTTATCTTATCACTTTTACAGCCATATAGTTTACAGAGAGTTTTATAGCTCAGGGACTGTTATCTTAGCTTGAACATTTGGTCTCATTCTGGGATGCAGTTTAGCAACTCAAACATTTGTTAATTTGAATTGGGGCTATGTGCCTTCAAGCGTCAAGGGTGAAACCTCAGGTGTTTTTGTTAAACAAGCAAAGCAAAGCAAATTACAGAAGCAAAAGGCAGAGGTTATTTTGGATTTTATTTTTTAACATGCTGTAGGTTTCAGACTCTTTACAGAAGTTTTCTCTATCAATACCAGGTAAAACAAAGCAACCAGGCTGTCAGTTTTGCTCTATTTTTCAAGGCTCATTATTTCTGGTTAGGTTTTCTCCAGTATTTGGTGTTACGAGGCATGCCTGAAGTATCGATAGAAAGGGATGTTTTTGAAATAAGTTATATTACATGAAAGTACTTACTACACCCTCCTTTTCTTACTCTTAATATTTAAGTACATTTAATTCTTATTTTACTTATTACAACGCAGCATTTTTAATTTCATCTTTAAAAGATGTATTGACACTTGTGTCAAGTTATAACAGAAGTTCAAGAAAATCAAATGTGTTAATTAAAAATTTTTGTCATAATTAGTGAAGAGGACATCTAACTAATTACTAGTAAATTGATGCTTTTCAGTAAATATGCTTGTAACGAAAAGGTTATATACAAATTTAAAGTTATACAAAAACTTACTTTATATGATTTTGGAGCAATTGTTAAATCAAACAGTCCTGTAAAAATATTTTTAAATGTAATTCAATGGCACAAATAGAAATAAATGCAAGGTGTTTGAATATCTAACTAAACCTATAAGAGAAAGGAAATACATCTTTTAAAAGATCTGTAAATCTAAGAACTTTCAATATTCAAAATATCCTCGTTTCCAAAGTTGTATTTTTCTATTACTTTATCTTTCCATGAAACATAACCAGTAAAAACCTTTGCTGTTAGTCATAGGTTAATAAGGTTGACGGTCTCCACTCACTCCTCCTAGTCAGACGTCTCCGCGTTCCCGACGTTTAGCACAGAAAGAACATGCACTTTCTGCCTGTTCTGTGGCAACAGCCCCAAGTTAGAGTTATAAGGGACCGTGCTAGGCACTGCCCACAGATTAAGCTTCTTCAGTGTCCGATTTATCAGCCAGTTGCTAGAGACATATCAGCAGGAAGAGGACTTACCCATTCACCTCGCCGAGTGATGAAATAGGTGGGGAGAGCAAAACTGAGTGGAAAACGGAGGGCTCAGACCTTTCCACCTGGGGTCCTTCTGCCTGTGCAGCGCCCATGAGCTCTCCTCTGTGGGACCTGCTATTCGCCCTACCCAGGTTTCTTCCCTGCGCCTCGCTCTGGGCGGTGGATTTCACCCCCTTGAGAGCGTGCTTTGCTTGCCAATCAGAATTGTTTTTATAGCTGCACTTTCAGGTGTGACAGCGTATGGAGTAACTTGCTAATTACCTAGCCTGTCTTCTCAGCTAATCCTGACACCAGCTGATACTTTCTCAAGTACATAGGACCATATCATTTATTTAAAGTAATAAAGACAATAAAATAATCTACAGTTTTATATTGTTTTGTTTTATACAGTTAGAAAATTCTTCTCAGGTTTGTTTTTTGGTTTTGTTTTGTTTTTCTTGTACCGGGGATGGAACTCAGATCCTTGCGCTTTCGAGGCAGGCGGTGGAACCACTGAGCTAAATCCCCAGCCCTGCTTGTGTGTTTTTTTTAAACCAATATTTTTTCCTCACTTTTTGGGCTCTGTTTGTACAACACTTTCTAAATTGCATCCTGCTAAAATATTTTCACCCTATCATTGTAACCCCAAGTGGCTACACTTATTATTTAACATTAAGTTTTAAAGTCACTACCACTCTGTAAGAGGAAAAATGCCTAAATAAAACAAATATATATGTAACTATATATACAGAATATTAAGGAGCAATATTCATTCTTACCTATCTTCAAAAATTTTAGGAGGATCTTTCAAGGATGTGGTATGTGCATCCCATAAGTATTTCAACAGTTCTTCAAAGGTGCTCCAAGGTGACTGCATATACTAAAGTAAACAGGAAAAACTTAGCAGTATTTCAGCTCCCTGAAATGTTACCTCACGCAGACAGTAACTGGAGCAGTATTCTACAGGGCGGGAGCTTGTGTCTGACAATTAGTATGCATAAAAGTTTATTGGTGTCTAATGCTTTATAAAGAGCAAAAATATGTATTAGTTTTAGCAAAGCATATCCATCCAGAAGCAACAAACTTCAAGTATATTCAAAAACTCATCTTTTATACTGGCTGGGAAGCTTTTTGTCATTTTTTTCCATGAACATAGTTAAAATAATCAAAAAATCTTAAGAAAATAAGACAAATATTTGTTTGAATGTTAAATTTAATGTCTAGAATGAACTGATAATCAAAAGACCTGTTAAATATATCTCTTTATCATTGATTTTAGTTCATGCCTACGTTAAATCAATGTATTTTATTTTCATCATAAATTATTTAGTTCAGAACAACATGTACTTAGTTCTACCTAAATGTTATCATTCATTTATTTAGTTGAACTACACCAATTTACTGGTCTAAAACCAATGCTATAATCACATTTCTTTTTAGTTCTCATAGTTAACCTAAAGTTCCAATTAACCATGCCAGCCAGTTAACCTTGTAGCAAAATATCCTGTATACTTAGGACTTAAAATTTATTTGAAGTGAAAAGAATAAATACATTTCATGTTAATTCTCTACTTGGAAAGTGGGTATTATAATTTATTTCGAAAATGTCTCCTAAAAGTCTCCTGCGATCAGAGGTCGGTCTTTCAGAGGGTGATCCTGTCACAGGAACTTTCTCCTCATCGATTCATTAATCTACTAATCAGATCATAGTGCTATAGAATCACTGGGAGGTGACAGAAACAGAAGGTAGGATTTAGCTGAAAGGAGCAGACCACAGGGTATGGCCTTGGAGCTGTATCTGGTCCATGGCTCCTTTCTCTCTAGCTCTTTCCTTCTCTCTCTCTGCTTACGGCTGCTATGAGGTAAGTAGCTTTCTTCACATTCACCCTTCTGCCTGATGTTTCTGCATTGCTGCGGCCTCAAAGCAAGGGAACCAGCTGACAGTGGACTAAAATCTCCAGAACTGTGAGTCCAAATACATCTCTCCTCTTCTACACTGAGAGTTCTTAGGAATTTGGGCAGTGCCGAAAAGCTAACAGTGTGTTTCAGTGATGTGCAATGCCCTGCCATACTACATATTATTAATGTATTTAACCTAACAGTTTACATTTGCTTTTTAAGGAAAATATTATACAATTAAAAAAAAACAGACTAGAAGCTATATACCAAAAGGAATTTTCTTGCCATGTATTAAGAACATAAACTATAAAATGTAGAGAAAGAACCTGGAAAAATATTTTCCACTGGTTCATTGTGTCGGGGAAGGAGGAACGGCAGCCAGAAACATTGTAGCAAAACCGCATCTGGTCCTTGGGCGGAGGCAGAAGCGTGACATTGTTAGGCGATGTCCCCAGTATGCCAGAATCCAGGGCAGCAAGGAAAGGTAGGACACTCAGGAAATAATTCATATCTGAGGGAACAGAAAGTTTATTATCACCACAACCAGTAATAAATGTCAAGGACCAGAATGCATTAAGGAAAAACACAGTTGTAGAAACATGTGATAAAAATTAGTCACTGAAAAAAGTACTATGCACAAAATCCACCTGCAAATTTTAACTTCTGTTAAAAATTCTATAATCATTTGTATATATCATTTAGCATTCCTGATATATTATTTAAAAACATAAGGTAATTTGAATGGATTTGGTGATAATCTTTCTTCATAACACTAAGTAAAGCAGGAAGAAAACTATGAAATAATCCACAAAATGATAGAAAAACTTTACCTTAGGTTGTACTGTGCATTGTAGTTTTTTCTACAATATTCTAACTTGACTGTGGCTTTGGTTAATATTTTCTGTTTTGTAGATATAAGTTTGATTTCTAAACATAATATCACTAGATTCTCACTTTATGCTATTTTTCTAAAGCAAAATTTTCAATGTTTTCTGGCAATAGCTCATTAGAAAATGTATTCAATTGACAATCAAATGAGATCCTCTTTCTACCTACAGAATACCTATGCTAGTAAATTTAGACATCATAACTGAGTTAGGAACCTAGGTTTATATTGATTCCCCTTGGAAATGAGTGATGTAAAATATTTTTCCCCACAGACATGCAAACCTCTGCCCCAGGAGGACGGGGCTACCACCGATCTACTACGGCATCCGAGAAAATGTTCACAATCAAGATCTGTGAGCATGACTATTGGTGCATGTCTGAAAAATGACTCAGCATAACAAGAGGCAAACATAGGAGGACAAATCCTATGTGGGTCACTCAGCAGGTGAATTTTAACGTGATCTCCTTTCTAATTACTCCAAGAAGTTGTTGTGTAAGTTAGTCTCTTTCCTGAAACACAAATTTGAAGAATTGGAAAACACCTTCTGGTTACTTCTGCTTTTCGCCTAGGACTGAAGACTTAGATTTCTGACTGGCAAGATCAAGTCCAGTAGGTGCTACTCTCTGACAAGTTTGAGTTTGAGATCTAAGGTGTTTGATCTGAGCAAAACGATAAAGCATTGCTTTCTTCGTCTCTCACTTCTCAGCCTTCCTCGTTCCGAAGAAGCTGGGTCACCTTGGGACCTGCCATTTCACTGCCAGTATCGGTCCTCCAGAAGCCTGGTCCTTTGGACTTCCAACTTCAGTTCTCCTATGAAAAACTGATATGTCCTTTAAAAAATCATAACTGACCTCGTGGTTGTTAAATGCTGAAAGATGGCATAGAAATTACCAGGTACATTGTGAGAGAGACTCATTTTTTTAAATGGAATACTACTGACAAGAACCAAGATGTGATATGTATGTGCACCAATACCCCACAATTAGTATATTCATTGTGTGTCCCACACATATGTTAATAAAAATGTTTAAAGAAATAAAGTTTGAGAAACACCTGCACACAAAAATAAATAAAGGGGAATGGCACTACTTTTTAGTTGTCTGTGTATAAGACTTTGGGTAGGAGGTTTCTCTTTGTGGGACTACAGTATTTAACTTATCTATTTCATTGAACTTACCAGCCCACCAACTGTCTACAGAAATGCAGAGAGGGTCAGGTTCATAGCCACAGTTTGTCCTTCTCTCAGGGTCGGCTAGTCTACCTAGAGACCAGAAATACACAGTTACATTTCTTACACACAATTCAAAATTAATCATAACTCTCACATAGCTGGGTAGATGTTATTTGTAGGTGCACGAATATGTATTTGTGAATTACTGGATTTATATATCCATCACTCTTTATTGCTTTTTCTTTTGCATCTCTCAGTCATGTTCTTTTCCTGAACCACAGCACAATTTTTGACTTTTAAATTATAGGTCTTAGATTTTTTTGCTTTTATAAATTTTCATGTTTTTATTGCCTTCTGTACCCACAGGCCAAAACTATAGATGCACTCAGGTAAAAAGAAGTGGAAGTGGCTGAGAGTCAAACAAATAATTGTTCATTAGAAAATAGCCTTTCTTTTCTTTGACAAATGAAATTGTTCTTTCTCTTATCTTTCTCATTGGCTATGTTATTGGCATTGAATGGGCAGTGGATATCAGTCTTTCTAGTAAGCTCCTTCTGTCCACCAGAGCAAAATTATCTTTTGATTCATAAATATTTTGTACCCAAACACATTTTCTGCATATACATTGTGCTGAACAGTCCCTTATTTCCAGAAAGAAGTCACCACTTGGAGAGAAAGATGCACGTGAACAAGTCGCTGCTGGTTTATAATTACATGTCCATGATCAGGTGATCACAATTGCATCTCCAAGAAATTCTAACTAATTTGGCATGATCTTCTGTTTTTACTTTATATCCACTTGATAATTCTATTTATCCTAGTGCTAAGAAAAAGTTCACTTTCACACTTAGCAGGACCCCAGTAAGAATTCATAAAATGCTCCCTAGGTTAGCTCCGATGTCTTTCTGGGGTTGTCCCTAATGTCTCCAGTAGAATCAGACCACTCATGAAGGAGGGATTTGTGAAGAAGGAAAAGAAGAATTAGAGAAGCAATGGTTATAATGAGAAAAAAATCAATTTTTAAAAACATGTCTGAAATTTAGAGTCATATGCTTCATAGTTATCCTGACAGATCATTAGCGTGGAAAGAACTGTCTTGCTTACCTGATCTATATTGCCAGCCATGCTGAAGAGGCAGTCCCCATAAAAGGTTTTGTTCATTTTCTGGACCAAATTTTGCAAAATATGTGGCTGTCCTATTCAGCAGGATTTTGTACATCCCCATTCTGTCAGTGAACACCCAGGGGTCGATAACGTATTTCCCGTTCTCTACCCCGTAGTCACTGAACTGACCAGGGCTCTCCTGCCACAGAGGAGGATACAGATTCGAGAGATTGAAAGCTCCTGCTAAAGAAGCAGATGCACAACCAAGCAGGACCCAGGCCCAGGAAGGAGGCAGAGCCATGGTGCCGAGGTTGGGGCTGAGGCTGGAGCAGGGCTTTTATTGGTGTGGAGCAGGAAGTCACGGGATTGTCTTACATCACCACTTATCACCACTTTGCTTTCTTTATTAGGATTTGTAATATCACTCAAGGATATATAAAAATGCATGTAATTTCATGACAGTACAAATTTCTGCTTCAAGAGAGAACTTTGACCTGTATCCAAGTAATACCATCCAGTACATAAAACCAGTTTGTTGGAGAAAAAAGATAATTAATTCCAGTATCTATTTTTTTTCAGTAAAAGAATCTTAGAATGATAACCAAGACCATAGCTTTCCCAGATTGACACTGAACTTGCAGTGTTCCTTGTATAATTAAGCATGTAACCAAGTACTAATCACTGGTAAATCACAGATACGATGTCTATAACGCACAGTACTCAACTGCTATCAAAATCACCCTACAGTGCACTACCACACCAGAGCTTCTTAGCCCAGTCTACCTGGGATTTGATACCTGTTGGCCAACCTTTTCCCATCCCTCCATCCCTAGTAGAGTCTCCTGTAAGTCACAATTCCCACTCTTAACTTCTATGAAACCCAAAGATTCCACGTAGGAGCGTGTTCATGAAGTACTAGCCTCGCTGTGCCCTTCTCACCACACTTAACTTGACGATCTCCAGTTCCATCCATGTCTTCAAACGTGACGAGATTTTGTTGTCTCGTGGTAGTATGTAAACTGCATTCTGTAGGTATACCACATTTTTTGTGTGTGTTTTCATCAGTTGTTGGACACTTAGGTTGTTTTTCCTCTTGGGGCTATTATTATAGTAAAGAGCAGATAATTTTCCTTAGGATGTATAGCCAGGAGTGGGAATGCTGGATAATATGGTAGTTCTATTTTAATTGTTTTAGGAATATCCGTAATGTTTTCCATAACACCCTGGCTAATTCTCATTCCCACCTCCAACAGTGTGCGTGGTTCACTTTTATTCTCATCTTCGTCAGCACTAGTTATCTTTTGTCTTTTTGATAGCAGATATTGTTAGTCAGGTGAGGTGCTATCTCACTGTGCTTTTGAGTTACATTTCCCTGATGATTAACGATCCTGAGCATTTTTCATGTATCTGGTAACCTTTTGTGTAACTTTTGAGAAATATGTATTCATATACTGTGCCCATTTATAATTGGGTCATTTGTTGTGTTTTGTTCTGATTTGGTTTTTGACTGGGGGATCGTTGTTGATTTTTTGCAGTTCATTATATATTCCGGATGTTAACCTCATGTCTGACATGTAGTTTACAAATATTGTCTCCCATTCTGTATACTCTCCTTTCATTCTAAGGATTGTTTCCTTTACATCTCATTTGCCTATTTTTGTTTTTGTTTCTCATGTTTTGGGATTCTTGGCCAGAAAAAACTCCTTACCCATCCCCAGGTGTGAAGCATGTTGTCCCTTATTCTTCCAATGGCTTTATAAGAGAGGCTTAAGGTTGCTTTTTGCTAAAAGCATGGACTTCTCACTTGGTTTTTCACATGTCCAGTGGCTAAGGATAAATACATCACAGTTTGGCATCTCTGCCCTCATATGTCATCTCTCTGCTCTTGCTACCTTTTACTTTGGGGGTCACACTTCTGCTCAACTCTGAAAGTACATGCTAAGCATCTAAGGAATGTTTGTATTTGCAGTAAATTTATATTCTCTCTAAAGACAAGGATACCTAAGATTTTTTCAAGATTTACCAGGACATCATAATCAACTTATTTTCAGCCTCCACTTTTTATAATTTCTTGTGTTTTCATGCCAATACCATGCTATTTTGGTCATTACAGTTTTGTAGTGTACTTTGATGTCAGATAGTGTAATACTTCCAGAGTTAATTTTGTCCTGAAGCTGTTTTAGAGATTAGGAGCCTTTTGTTTTATGTGAGTTTTAGGAATTTTTCCTAGTTCTGGGGTAGGATAAAAGAAATTATGACTAGTAGAAAAGAGACAAGGAAAATCATAATCAAAATTGTACTTTCAAGAAAACTGCAGCTTCAGGATTCCAAAGATTACCGAAGGTACCCAAGGTTAACCATATCTGTACGCTCTATCCTTACTTCTTAGATTTGTTTGTTCTCTCTTTACTGGTTTATGCTCTGTAGGCTTTTCTGTTTTTGTCTTACAAACCCATCCTACCCAAAAGCCTTAAAGGTATTGTAAGTCTGCAAATTAACTTGGTGGGTAAGGTAAGCGGCAACAACCTGACCTTAAGGTGAAGAAACAAATTCAAACAGTTCAAGGAATATTTTTAGGCAAAATATTTTAGACTACTCATTTTTAAAACTTCCTTCAAGAACACATATATATTTCCATACCTAGACCATCTCTTTCAAGGGCTCACACTTTATTTTGACTGAATATGTACTTGTTTAAGCCTACACAATAAAATATGTCTTTACCTCTCACAAATGCATCCTGAAATTCTTTTTCTGTGCCAAGAGTCAAGCACCAACTCTGTGAGCCAAGATGTGGTCCCTGTATCTTCTTTGGAAGAACTCCTTGAATCCTATTCATTGACAGTTCTTAACAGAATTTTTAGAAGTAAAACAGCTGAGACACAAGTTTATCTAAAAATATAAATGATTCTGGAAAGGTAAAACTCAACTAGTGATGAATAATAATGATGAAGGCAAACCTTCTCTAACATGCATTCAAACTTTTTATAAGCCAGGCGAGGTGGCTCAAGCCTGTAATCCCAGCACTCGGGAGGCTGAGGCAGGAGGATCGCTGTGAGTTCGAGACTACCATGGGCTACATAGTGAGTTCCAGGTCAGTCTCATTACATAGTGAGACCCTGTCTCAAAAAACAACAACAACAACAACAACAACAACAACAAAAAACAACTTTTTATAAATCCTCAAAAAATAAAATAATATATTGTGGTCATTGATCTCATAGTTGTGAGCAGACGCAAAAAGACAAAGAACACTCGACTATTAAAGAAACATTTTCTAAGGGCCCAAATACAAATGAGAATTTAATGAGAAACCGTAATGGGGCTAGATCTAGACATTGTTTGTGTATCCACCAGTGGGATAGTTTTTAGAATTTACATATACAATGGAAAAAGTAATTATACCCTTCATGTAAACATATTTGTTAAAGGTATTAAAATATCATAATGTTGACAGTATAATTTGGATTTTCTACTTCAAAGACTGAGGAAGTAGGAACTCTAAAGTAAATGTCACACTTAAGGCATAGGCTTCTAATACATAACCCAGTGTTTATTCAACTTTTTTCAAAAGAGCAGCTCTAATATTTAGTAGAAAAGCCTTCCTGGAATAATAAAGATTGCATTGTCTGTTCTAAAAGCCAGACAGAGCTACAATGAAGCTCTGGCCAAATTGTAGATTGTGGCACTCAAGAAACTTCCTTTGAATACAACTTTTCCTTTGTTCTCCCTCTGCTGCCCCAAACACATGTATCTGCCTTCTGATGCTGTCCTAGATCATGAGAAAACAAGAAAGCACAGGGTGTTGAGGTTCACTCTGAGTCCATGGTATTCATGGATATCTAGAGTCTCTACTTCTGGGACTTTCCAATTCTTCTATTCATAAGAAAAAATACCTGTGACTTAGGAAAATATTTTTTTCAGTGGGATTTGCTGCTATTTGGAGAATCTAGCTGAATAGGCATTCTACTTGCGCTTTTTAACACTTTGTTCTCATTTTCCATAACTGTTTTGTAGAAATAAATGTGTTACTCATTCCTGAATGCACTACAATAAGATTTCATGTTGTGTAAATCTTGTGACACTTCAGTAGAAATTTTATATTAGATATTTCATAAAAATATAAAAATCTAAAGCTCATACATACAAATAACTAGTGAAACTACAAAACATCAATATAAAAATGAATGATAATGTCCTAATTTTTAAATAAGAAAACTGAGGCTTATCAGGTTTAAGGTGAATATTGATTTTGCTCCCAGGTTTGCCTGATGCTAAAGTTTGGGCTCTTCTCAGTTGTGCTAAATTGTACCACGCAGTAATGATTCACGTAACACTGTGAGGAAATTTGAGCTTATTTGAAGTTAGAAATTGTGCTTTTAAATCATATCATTTTATTTATCTCAAAACATTTCATTCATTTGCTTAGAATACTGGTTGAAAATATATAAACTCAGACAGTCTTACTGGCATGGAAACCACCAGGAAATTAAAATCACAAGGTTTGTAATTTTATCTTAACCTTCTTTCTAGCAGTGTGAACATGAGAATTCCCTAAAGTTGTTTCTCTACAGTAAGAGCACAATTCTTTCCTCTTACACAGAGTAATTTGGAAACATAAAGGAGAACATGTAGTCAAATTAAGTGAAAAAATAAACCTAGTCAAAGATTTTTAAAATTCCTTAAAATCAAGCAACCTCTTTGGGCGGTTTCATATACTTATATATTATTTAAGTATATCCCTTGACTTATTTAAAACATATTAAGTATTTAAGTATATTCTTTGATTATTTTAAGTATATTCATTGATTTAATTATATTTTTAGTAACCTCAGTACAGTGGTCCTCCTTTTCTTTACCATGATCAAGAGTAGCAAAGTTTAGATTCTTTTGAACGTAAAACATACCTCACAGCCACACATAAAGAGTGATAAAGCACAAAATCTTCTCTGTAATTACATTGGAAAAGCACAGTGCATCACTTAATTGGAACAAATACATGGATATGCTTGAAAAATTACAAAATATATTCATTAACTTATATAAAATGCATTTGAAGACAAAGATGAATGCTACGTTCTCTGGGGGGAGCATTAACTTTTTATGATGTCTACAGTCACAAGTGTGGAAAATCAGCAGAGATTCAGAGGCCTTTTAACAACTTTTTATACTATATACATTCTTTTGAGCATTTACTTGTAGTAGAACTTTACATTTTTTCAAGTTTTCAAATATATAAATTCCTACAACGTAGTATAATTGTCTCGCTTTGTTTGAATGTTATTTGAAATATTCAAATTT